AACCATAAGAACTGTTTTGTACTCTGCAGGATCAGAGGCCACGATGGGGTCTGCAGTGGAGAGGACAGACGAACATGTGAAGGAGTATCTGATCTACAGAGGCTTCACCAACACTCTGAAACACCTGGACAGCGAGATCAAGGCCGACAAGGAGAAAGGCTTCAGGGTACGACTCCTGGAAATGTGGATGAAGCATTTCTTCTTTTACTGAGAGAAGAATGAATTGTAAGAAGGATGATTTTTGTGCTTCTGCAGGTGGATAAGATCATCGATCAGCTGCAGCAGTTCGTCCAGAGCTTCGACCTGTTCGGTCTGAAGGAGTACTGGCTCTACCTGGACAGACGCCTGTTCTGCAGACTGGAGGATGTCTACAGATCCACCGTGAACAAACTGAGGACCAGCCTGTACAGATACTATGTGATCAACACCATCCAGGTGACGTCCTGCCGCATGTTTCTGACACTAACACCCAAACCTGAGGCCTTCACGGTAACCGTCTGCTCTGTCGTTCTTCCAGAAACAAAACCTGGAGAAAACTCAGGAGTTCTTCCAGAAGCAGGCGTTGGAGCTGCAGAGTCAAGCCGAGTGGCGCGATTGGTTCATCCTGCCTTTCATCCCCGCCCCCGAGCAGAACTCCGCCTTCTCGCCGTACTTTTCCCGCCAATGGGCCGACACCTTCCTGGTTTCGCTGCACAACTTCCTGTCAGTGCTCTTCCAGTGTATGCATATCCTTCAGCCGGACGTTACCGTGTTTAGTGTCCAGTCTGCGGTGAAGTCTGTGAGACGTTTAAATTCTAAAAGTTCTTCTTTCTAGTCCTTAACTGTTTTCCACCCCAGCCGGTGCTGCTGAGCTTCGACGCTGAGGTCCAGAAGATGACGGGCGTGACTGAAGAGAACGAACAGCTCCGACAGCTGGTGAGAACGAAAACACTATTAAGTTATTATAGTAGTCCTACGATGAAAATCACTGAAATATTGTCAGGAGTAGCTTGAAAAGTCAAATAAAGAGACCAAAATACTACATTAAAATGTCAAAAAGGTCCCGTAAGGTAAAGGCGACATTTAGCTGACTAAACCTTTCAGTCTTAAAAAAACACGTCTTTATAAATCTAGCTGGTATTTCCAAAATATTTTAAATGGTAGAAGTTTTTAAATCACTTAAAATGGGCAAGACTGGGCCCCCCATAGCTCACCTGGTAGAGCGGGCGGCCCATGAACCGGGGCTGTAGTTCCCCGATGCAGCGGTCGTGAGTTCGAATCCCGCTCACGACCCTTTGCTGCAGGTCTGTCCCCATTCTTCTCCCCCCTTTCCTGTCTCCCTCTACTGCACTAAATAAAGGCAAAGGCCAAAAAAATATATTTAAAAAAAAAAAATGGGCAAGACTTCCAAGACCTGCTGCCCAAAAGCATTCCCACATCATGATGCTGCCACCACCGTGCTTCGTCATGATGCTGCCAGATGCTCTGTCCTTTATTTCCAGGATTCCTTCATTTCGTTCTCAGATTTCCATCATTTAACCACAAACGTTGCATCATGTGGTTACATTTGACCATAAATCAGGTCCCAACACTGATTTCTTTCTCTTTTTTTTTTAGAAAAGTTCATTAGAAGAATAAAATGAAGATGAAAAGTTTTGTTTATCTTGTCGTTTGAATGAAAAAAACTTTCTTTTGAAGTGGTTTGAAAACTTCCACCATTTAAAATACTTCAGAAAGTCAGGTTAAAATTAAATAGACATGTTAATTAGTCCTAAAAACTTTAAATATAGTGTCATGTCATTGAACTATTACTTAAAAGTCAGTTGAAATGTTGATGAATCTAAAGGTTTTAAAAAAGTTTTATAATTTAGTGAAACTCCATCATTCCTTCCCACTGCTTTTATCTTATATCATGAAATTCAAAGTGAGTCATTCAACCCGTTGCGATGCTCAAACTGTCGGCTTTTGACCATAACGTTGGTCTCGTTTCGTGCAGCTGTTCGCCCTGCAGACGGAGAGTCGGGACCCGAGGGACGGAGACGAGATGGTCCACCACAAGCTGCCGCCATACGTCCAGAACATGGACCGACTGGGAGACACTGAGCTGTGAGACACTAACATCACTGTCTTTACCGATGACTGACCACAACAAAGATGGCTGCCATTCTGTCCGTTCCTAATGTTCATGCTGTTCTTCTAAAAGACAGTCGACAACACGATAACCAAAGTTACTCACTGGAGTTGTTACAAACATGGCTGGTTCCACTGATCAAAGATGGCTGCCATGCTTTAGACATAACGGAGGTACTGTTTTTCTGCCACTAATGAATATTTTTTATATTGATTAATCTAAAGGAATAACTTTCCTGCACAAAAATAATATTAGCATTTCAAACTGTATTTTATTGTATGTTACAGCACAGTATGAAATGCTGACAAAGGTTCACACAAACTGTAGGTTCAAACTAAACGCTCCAACATAAATATAAAAAGGGCTTATCGTTTAGGTATTTGTTTTTGGGAAGTTATTGATAGATCAAGCTGAAAACTTCCAACTATCTTTATAAATATCCATATTTTATGCTACAAAAATGCTTTTGTTGTTATTGTTGAGAGTTGCAGGTGGCAGCCATCTTTAAACTGAAATAATCAGAGCATACTTTCTATTAATTGCAGTTTTGCGGTTTTCGTTCTTTTGCTATGTTTCCCTTCCCCCCCAAAAAAAGCACAGGACAGACATGTTTCTGATGTTAGCACGTTAGCATGCTAGCTTGTTCACTTTGACCTCACTGTATCGACTGACTGCGTTTGTTTTTCTGGTGATCTGTTTTAAACATTGTGTAAAAAAGTAACCCTTTGTTTGCTGCACTTTAGAGCACAGTGTGGTTGAAAACCCGCTAAATGAAGGTTGATAGAGTTGATGGAGTTGACCACAAGGCAACGCTACAACACGGTGAAAGACATGTTGTGAGATTTTGAGTGACGCCGAACAGGTCGGACATGTCAGACTGAAACTAAGCTTCTGAATCGCTCAGAGTTCTTAAACTAATGGACCTGCTGAGGTTGTTTATCCTCCGTAGAAACAGCAGAATCATAGGAGGACATGATGAAAAGAGCGGGAAGTGTGAGTTGTTGTTTTGTGTTTTGTTTTTTTTCCACGAGTGATGTTACTTGATGTTCAGAAACCTCCTATCTCCATCGTCATCCTGGAGTCACCTCTAGAGGAATTTTTCATGCACTTATAAACTCAAACAAAACTGAATGATTTTTGTTTTTATCCGTATAAAATATATTTAAACGGTTTTTAACTAACTTATTGTTAACGGTACAGTATTCACCCTGTTCCAGTATTTCCACTGTGTGCTGTGATGCGGTTGATGTTGCCAAATAAACAATTCACCTGATGAATTGTTGTTTCTTGTCAGTACGATCCATTTTTGCAGATTTCAGTCGGTTTCCATACGATGGTTAAAGGTTGTAGATCTGACTGACAAACACAGTGCACTCAAAAATAATTCTAATTAGAAACTTGAATATGTAGAAAAATCAAGCAAAAAGAATCCACTGCATCCACTTCATTATTGAACACATCGACACTGAATCGACACCCTAATAAATCCCAATGGAATTTAGAAATAGTCCTGCTCAGACCGTTGCTCATCAGAACCAAGTGAACACCTTTACCAGGTGCCTTAAAAAGTATTCCCCGTATCATGATGCTGCCACCACCATGCTTCATGGTGGGGAGGGCGTCTTTGTGATGATGGGCAGTGTTTGGAGTCCACCAACCTTAGGTTCGAGTCAAAAGGTCTCATCAGACCAAAGAACCGTCTTCTAGTTGACTTCAGAGTCCCCACATGCCACTCTACAACACTCTTCCATCTCAGCTACCGAAGCTGGTAACTCCTTCAGAGCAGTCGTAGGTGTCTCTGGAGGCAAAAACATTACTAGTTTTACTGAAGAGAAGAAGGAAAACACACAGCGATCCATCACAACATTAAAACCACCGACCTACTATTGTGTAGATCCCCTTCGTGCCACCAAAACATCTCATGAAAGCATAAACTACACAAGACTTGAAAACACCTGAAATTGACACCAAGACATTAGCAGCAGATCCTGGAAGTTGTGAGATGAGGCCTACACGGTTGGACATCCCACAGATGCTTGGTCAGATTCAGATGTGGGGATTTTTGAAGTCAACACTTAGAAGTCTTTGCCATGTTTCTCAACTCATTCCTAAACAATTTCTGCAGCGGGGCAGGCACTCTTATGACTGAGGTATTCAGGCAATCCCGTTGCCATAAGGGGTGGATTCTCGTAGTTTAATCGTAGCAACTGGACCTGCTTGAGTTTCTTGAAGACGTTCCACCTCTCATCCAAGAGGCTTCATCAGCTCTGACTGACTAGTTGGAAGATCCAGATACTGATATCCTTAAGGAGTCTTCAAGAAACTCAAGTAAGTCCAGTTGCTACGATTAAACTACGAGAATAAGCATGACCTGGATGACTGAGGATCTTCACAGACAAAGGGGTGGATGTGCGTGCAGCATTGAGTGGGTAGGTGGTGCATGTCAAAGGAAGCAGGACGTTGCTCAGAGCCCACTTCCTTTGCTGGCTCACCTTCTTCCCATCCTGCTGCCGTCTTTTCTCCTGATAACTGACAAACCCGGTCGTCTGCTTGATATAAAAGAAAGCACACTCCCATGCACAATTTTCCAAGTCTTTGAGAAACAGTATCGAAAGAAGGTGCCAAAAAATATCCAGATCAGGTACAAAACACCCATGAATCAGGTAAAGAACTGAAACTACCTGCAAGTAGGTGGAGGGCCTACCACAATGCTTAATGTAATGAAAAGCTGAACTATGACGCTGTACTTTATAAGTCTAGTGATACACCCGAATATTTCTAGAATGCCCAACAATCACAGGTGTAGACTCTCTTCCACTTCCTCTTCACATCACACCAGCAAAATATCATTAGAGTTTTGATTCAGGTAGTTTCCACGACGTGCCAGTGACATTCCTACCTCAGGTTTGTGTTCTGCTGCTCAAACGCTAAACTCTTCTGTGTTTGATGTAAGAACCACCGTAAGACTCTGTGGAATCCAGTATAACATTCAGTTCCATCTGTGGATTAAATTTACTGGATCTGGGAGTAAAAGTTTGTAGTACTCAAGCCATCTTCGTACGTAAGGTAATCAGGATCAATACCTATATAGAGTTTGGTGTCATCGGCATAGAAGTGAAGTAAATGGTGTGTTTGCAAATGTTGATCCATTGTGGAAACATTTACAGGTTGTTTTATGATGATTTCAGTAGATTTAAGTCTTCAGAATGCCAAACCTCATATCTTATGTAATCTAAACGCTAATGTCATCACATACGTCACAGGTCAATTTTCAACAATATCGCTGCATCTCCAAAATGAAGGGAAGTATTAACGGGTACAACTCTGCCGAAGCCTCGTCCTGCACTTCACGATCAGTCTCTGCAAGCTCTTAAATCCTGACTCAATTACCGTTTGGACTCAGCAGGAGCTCTTTCAATACGCTGTTGTTGAACTTGCCCACTTTCTCTGCCCTCGTAGGGACTTGGTGTCGAGTCAGCGAGCCGTGAGCTCCGTCACCACTCCTCCCAGAAACTTCTTCTCATTCCTACCACAAGGCCGACGCACTCCAGGAAAACCGCCTCAGGTGTCCACCGGTTCCTCTCCGAACCAGGCGGCAGTCGGGAGGAAGGACCCATCGACCAATCAGGTGAGAGCAAGGAACTGTGAATTAGGAAAATTTCTTGTTGTTTTCAGATGTTGAGGCTCAAATGCAGTTAATCTGCTCTCCACCAGATGCTGGTCTGAGCACCAACTGTTTTAAAGGAAATTGGGAAATCCCCAGCGTCTTTCATGTCAAGAAGGGTTTTACGCATCGTTTACTGATCTGACCATCACCAGTTGGTTGGAGCAAATCTGACTTTGCACCTTGTTATTCATAGTGACAAGTTCATGTTAGTTCCTTTTTGTCCCAACCAAAGGCATCTTGTTCTATCATCAGGCTTCAAATCATCCCTCAAGAAAACTGTAGGGTTCTGAACAGATATTTCAGTTATATTTTCCTATAGTTACAGTTTTAAACTTCTCTTTTAGCCTCCAAAGTCTAAGGAGGTGGTCCAAGCTAAAGACGTGAAGCCGACTTCCAGCCAGCCATCGACCAGTGAACCAGCAGGTTCCCAGCAGCCTACGAACCAGTCGGCGAACCAGAATCCCAGACACAAAAGAATCCAGGACCATGAGAAGGAGAGGAAGGAGCTTTTCTCCAAACCTCCACTACAGGTACCTGAGTAGACCCATTTGATGCAACACATCTGCTGCATTCGTGTGTTCAGGCACTTTTACTGGGAAATACCTGAGATTAGTCTTTATGCTAAGCTATGCTAATGGACTTCTGGCTGATATATCAATCTAAAACTTGACAGATACTATTTTAAATATCCAGAGTTTATTATAAAAAATCAGCTCAGAGATGGTCAATGAGAAGGAACCTGATGATTTCTGAAGGAACAACCTCAAACAAGCTCTCTGGTCTTGAACCTGATTGTTTCCGTCCATTCAGACTCAAGAGAAAAAAGTGGAGTCGATGGAGGCCGAACCTCCTGCCGAACCTCCCAGTGACCTTCCGGACCCCTCAGCAGCAGAGGGAGGAGGCCTGTCGACGGAACAGCCCTTCATTAAGCTGAGCCAGGAGGAGTACGGAGAACATCACTCGTCCATCATGCACTGCAGGTCATCATCAACACTTTCACCAGCCGGCATCATGAAACACGAAATAAGAACCTGAAGCTTCGGTTTTTCTCTGTTTTCACTTCGTCTTCTGGTTTCCAGGGTCGACTGTTCCGGTCGCCGGGTCGCCAGTTTGGACGTGGACGGAGTCATCAAGGTGGATCTGAGCTGCATTTCCTTCTAGAGTTGTGTGAAAACAGAAAACGAAACTCTGCAAATAGAAACTTGTAACCAAGCCTTCGTCTTCTTCTCCAGGTTTGGTCCTTCAATCCCATCATGCAGACCAAAGCCACCATCATGTCCAAGTCTCCTCTGCTGTCTCTGGAGTGGGCGACCAAACCGGACCGGCTGGTACGAACACAAACTCAGCTCAGACTAACCCGCCTCAGAGGAAACGGGTTCCCAACAGAACTCCACGTCAAACAGGATCAGTTCCTGGATTGTCAAACCTGAAGTGTTCTTCTGATTTTGCGTTTTCTGGCTCTGATAAATGGTGTAATCCTGTCGACCTTTTAGATTTAACCGTCAGCAGGTTCTGGGTTTCGAAGGATTCATGTAAAAATATTAATTTGTGCAGCTTTAAAGTCCAGTATTTACCTTTTCTTAGTAAGATGAGCTCAAATAGGGGATATAATGGTTAATATGTGGTTCTGTTTGCTTTATTCTAAACTGTAAAATTTACTTTTTTTAAAAAATCAGTTTCATTTATAACCTGATAAAGGAAACAGAATTCCGCATTTCCATTATTATTAGTGATTAAAACGTTGCTAAACTCAGTGTGCAGCTCAACATAACAGAAATACAGTGAAAAAATCTACAGTTACTGAGTTAATTTGCTGGGTTTTGTTCATTTTTATTGTATTTACATACACTAATGTGTTTGTTCTCAGCTGTTACTGGGCAGCGGCGTCGGAACGGTTCGACTGTATGATACGGATGCAAAGAAGAATCTGTACGAGATGAACATCGATGAGACTCATCCGCGGTAAAGCTGCCCGTCGTCTTTAATAAACACTGTAAAGTTTGAGATTAAGAATATCAGTTAGACTTTTTTGGGTGAAACAAATCCAGTTTTTCCAATATGTAATAAAACAAGTAGGAAAAGTCGTCAGGGTCAGTCCGTCTGATCTCATCAGGGTTCTTCTGCTCAACTATCCCTGATTTGCTTTAAATGTTTTTATCATAAACTCTGGATGTTTAAAATGGTATCGATATATCAAATAGTTTCTGAGATATTTCTGTTAAAACAGAAAGCCACTTTCACTTTCACAGTGAAACATGAGCAGTCTACCAGCAGGGTTCAGTCGTCTTCATGAGTGCCAAAGGGTTTTCTAGTAGGAAAATAAAACCGCAAATTAGCCTTAAAATGTTAAATATTGAGGTTGAGACCCTTCAGTGTTGTTTATGGTGTGAATTTTGTTGAATGTTAAGACTCAGATGGTACAATATTGTTAATTGTGGAGATTAACGTGGATAATTTAGAACTTCTGACAGTACAAAAGTTTGTCCTGTTACATGCTGCAGTTCCTGCTTCACCAAATGCAATAAACTACAGTCGAGCGTTTTGTCGTGTAGCAGTGAATGAATATCTGCTGCTGGACTCTAAACTCTGACGCTAACAGACTCTTGTGTGTTTCAGCATCTTGTCTTTAGCCTGCAGCCCCAGCGGATCCTCCTTCGTGTGTTCGGCTGCAGCGCTCAGTCGATCCGGAACCGTCTCCGGTCAGCTGCTGCTCTGGGACACGAAGACGGTCAAACAGCAGGTAGTTAACCGCTTAACTAGCTGGTTAGCAAGTTCAGTTTTTACACTGAAGCTCGTCGATGTTGGGTTTAAAATGCTACATGCTTTAATATGCTAACGGTTTAGCATTTAGCTCTACTTTAGCATGCTAACATGCTAACTTTGCATTCTAGTTCTTTGTGTTATGTTCAGTATTTTGATGGAACGACCACAATAATAACACAATCATGTGCAATAACAACTGTAATGTACAAATCTGGTGCAGAATCATGTGTCAATACTTGTACTGCCTCCATTTTGGTCGTATTTTCTACGATCGGATGTTATTCCTGTAAATATACACGTTGCACTGTGTACATACGTTCTTTGCACTATTCTTATACTGAATGCTTTAATTATTTTTATGCTCTTTGCACTGTGAAAGGATTTAGTTTAGTTGTGCAACGACACTAAAGTCGTTGGTTACCATTAGCATGTTTAGCATTAGCCTCCCCGTCTGTTTGTCCTGCAGCTGTGGTTTAATCAGCGTTCTGATGTTCTGTCCCTCAGCTTCAGTTCTCTTTAGAACCTGAACCTGTCGCCATCAACTGCACGGCCTTCAACCACAACGGGAACCTGCTGGTGACCGGCGCCGCCGACGGGATGATCCGACTGTTCGGTCAGAGAGTGTTTTCATTGTTGATTCTTCTGTTGATTCTTCACCATCAAAAACCCCGACACGTCTTTGTTTAGTTTGTGGACCGCTGTGACCTGAGGAGGCTGAATTTACTATTTCACACCTCTTGCGGCTCCAACCAAACCTTCCATACGTAACATTTAACACTGATTTTAACACATTTACCAAGAAAAGGTGCAAATGCAAAGTCCAGGTTTAGGATTTTAGGAATTGATATCAGGTCATTCAAATGGTCAATCACATGGTAATAAACCAACATTTTGTAATGTTTTTTAAATGTGAAACCTGTTTTTTGTCTTAAAATAAGTTCAGGTCAAGAGAGAAACTACTTTTGTTACTGTAACTGTCAAATATTCCACCAGGTTTAGTTATAAACATGCTGTAGCTCGACTCATGTAAATGATTGAGGAGCTTTTTACTGTGATAAATAAAACCAGTCCTTCTCCGTCTGTCTGCAGATATGCAGCGATACGAGAGCGCGATGAGCTGGAGAGCTCACGATGGAGAAGTTTACAGCGTCGAGTTCAGCTACGATGAAAACACCGTGTTCAGCATCGGCGAGGACGGGAAGGTGAGTGGAACCTGGAATCACCATCAGACGTACGAATTAAATCCAATGTGACCGTAAACACCTGATAGACTGAACAGACGTGTCTCTGTGAGTCCAGTTCATCCAGTGGAACATCCACCGCTGTGGAGTGAAGCAGTCGGAGCAGATGTTACCCCAAGACGCCACCGGACCCTTCGTCCTGTCGGGATACAGCGGATACAAACAGGTGAGTTACCATGGAAACGGCCTCTCAGGTCACCAGCATCCTTCTGTTCGACCGTCTCGACTAGTTTGGAACTTTGTCACGGTGACGGACGGATGTTTGAATGGTTTCAGGTTCAGGTTCCTCGAGGTCGACTCTTCGCCTTCGACTCTGAAGGTCAACATGTTCTGACGTGTTCCAGCTCCGGAGGCCTCATCTACAGAGTGAGTCCAGCTTCACCAGCATCAGTCCAAATGGTTTATTATATTATCATGTCTGTTGCAGCGTCTTGTTCAGGATCTTACTGATAAGAAACCAGTTTAAAAAAAGGTCCAAAACGAGCCCAGAACCAGTTCTCCCAAGAAGTCTAGAACCAGGTCCAACTCTAAAAGTAGCTCTTCAATAAAGTACTGACAGCCCAGTTCCAAACCAGTCCAAAACCAGGTCTCACACAAAGACTAAAACTAGTTCAAAAGTGGTTTGAAATCAAGTCTAAAACCAGCTCAACCCAGTCCAAAACCAGGTCTAAAACCAATCCAAAGCAATTTTTTAAAAAACAGGTCTAAAAACAGGTGAAAACCAACCCAAAACCAGATCCCAAACCAATTTAAAAACAGGTCTTAAACCTGTTTAAAACCAGCCCAAACCCCGGCAAAAACAAGACCACAATCAGGTTTAACATCAAGTCCAAAACCAGGTCTGCAACCAAGTCTAAAAGTAATTCAAAGCAGTTCAATGTCACGTCTTAAATAAAAAATGGGTCTAAAACCTATTAAAACCAGTCCAAACCCAGGCTAAGACCAGCCTAGAACAAGGTCTAAAACCTGTTTACATGCAGTCCAAAATCAAGTCCAAAACCAGTTTAAAACTATCCCACAACCAAGTTTAAAACCAGATGCAACCAGCCCAAAACCAGACTAAAACTACTCCAAATGCAGCTCCAACACCCAGTCCAAAACAGGTCTAAAACCAGTCTAAAACTAGTCTAAAACCAAGTTAAAACCTGCCCAAAAACAGCCTAAACTGGTCTAAAAGCACTGAAAAACCAGTCCAGAACCAGGCTCAACACCAGGTCCAAAGCCAAATTTGTCTTTCAGCACAGTTTGTGAAATAGGAACCAGTTAAATCAACCCTCGATATTTTTTTTTGTATATTGAATGTCTGCTTTTCCTTGTGATCCTCCAGCTGACCAATGGGGATCCAGCTCTGGACAGAGTCCTGTCGCTGGGCGGACACAAGGCACCTGTGGTGACGGTTGATTGGTGCTCGGCGGTGGACTGCGGCACCTGTCTGACGGCGTCGATGGACGGGAAGATCAAACTGAGCACGCTCCTGGCTCAGAAGTCCTGACGGAGGAAACTGATCGATTAGTCAGGAACCGGATCGATAAACCGTCTGTCTCATGAACCAACAGCAGAAACTCATCCTGTTAAATTCAGATCATCATTAAAATCTCACTGAAAGTTACACTGAGAGCTGCTTCTGTTCTTCAAAGCTGC